ATCTACTACTCATAAGCTGTCATTCTACTCATGGTTGTCACCTCACAGACACCAGATTTTGCTGTTCCTCCAAGCCTTTCAGCTATTTTCCAGGGAGGAAGAGAAAGGAGAGGAAAGAGGCAACCCCAGCCTCTATTTCATTGACCAGAGCACTGTCACCTGGCCACCTCATGTGACCACCCTTAGCTGTAGGAAGCCTTCAAACTTCCTTTTTGACTTTTAATTCTCTGCCTCAGTAAGTTATGATGTGACGATAAACCGTAAAGGTTGATTTCTTGCTCATGTGACATGTCATCAGCTGCAGTCAGCTGTGGCTCTGCTCAATTCATCATCTTCATTTTGGGGCTCAGGCTGAGTGAGCAATCCCTCTCAGGACCATGTACTTCCTTTGGAGAGAAAATGGAGAAGACAGTACCACGTGATGGCTCTTAAAGACTCTGTTCGAAAGTGGTATCTGTCACTTTCCCCCACATTCCATTGGTTAAAGCAAGTCATACACTAAGGCCGATGTCAATAGGGCAGAGAAATATAACTCTCTTACAGAAAACATTGCAGATGGTTGGGCATAACAATGTAATCTTTCTTATATAAAAAAAAAGCAAGCAAGTGAGAATAGACCAGAGGTGGAAGTTTAGTCAGCAATCTACAGTGTCTGCCACAGTATGCGTGCATGCACGCGTACACAAACACACACAAACACACACACACACACACACACACACGCACACACCACTTTTTATTATTTAGGTTCCAGAGCATCTCACAGGATAAGTATTCATATCATGTCTTTTTGATAAAATTACTACCTATAAAAACATCCTGGTGTAAAATACCTAGCCCTTAATGTGGGCTGTAGTTCGATTCAGCATTATAATAGAATCCACTGTAACTGAACAGATGATGATCTGTTATGAGAAATTTCTTGTCATACATTAAAATCCACTGTTTGTCAAGGTGATGTATATGAGTAATGCTTATTTTTAAGCCAAGAAACTTTCAGAAAACAGAGTCATATCTAGTTATTAAAGTTTTTTTTTTCCTTTTCTTCTGAATCAGGTGCTATCATACCATGCGACATGTTCAAAAGCTGAAGTTGACAAGTTTAAGGTAAGGAAGCAAACGGTACCCTATAGGGCATAAAGTGAAACTTTACATGGCTTTCTTACCCTTTGTCACTTGCCTCTGTAGAATTAGTCCTACCCATTGAGTGTTGGGGGAATAGAATTGGGCAAAGGTGTGTTTGGACATTTCAGTTTTTGAAGGAAAAAGAGACATCTATAACTGAGTAGTCCCTTCATGATCATTTAAATGATTCAGTATTTATTCCTTTCTATTCATTAAGTAAGCAGGATAGCAGAAAAAATCTGCATAATATAGTGAGAATCAAGATGCCTGGTTTTGGAATTGGTTTTACCTCTAACTCTCTGTTCATTTAAAATCTTAGGGCCTATATTTTCATCTGTAAAAATAAGTGAGGAAATTAGAATAATAATAGCTAACATTCACCAACTGTTTACTATGGACCAGGCACACTACAAAGCATTTTACCTGTATTCACTGGAGTTATAATCCTGTGAAGTAGGTACTATTTTGCAGGTGAGTAAACTGAGGCACAGAGATGTTGAGTAGACAGGCAAAGGTCAAACGATTGTAAGGAGTATAGCCAAATAGGGGGTGTAGCCAGTCAATCTGGCCCCAGAAATGGAGTTCTTGACCACCAGGCTTCACTGCCACTCAGCATGACCCCTGTCCATCTCCAGCTTCCTCTAAGTCTGTGAATGAGGCTTAGATATGTCTTTTCACCTTAGCCACCACCATTCCCTTAAAGGCAGTTCAGAATTCTTGTCCTTCTCTCTATCCTTGTAACAGGCCATGGTCAAAACATGGGAGTATGTAGAACCTGATTTTTCTCCCTTTTGAGTTTCAGTGTCTGCCTTTTAAAGTTTTTGTGGATGTTCAGAGAATTATCAAGCAAGCTACCACAACCATAAGAAAGATAATATTTTGTATCCTAATATTGGCATGTAATAACATTTGATGATGCCTACTCTTCTAGGAGTTTCATTTGCACATAGATACATTCATCTTCCCAGGAAAAATGGCACTCCACCTCGGGCCTGATAATTGAATCAGATCATTGGAGTTGAGTCACACTAATAAAGAAAGAGAAAAAGGGAAGGCCTCAAACTCATAGTAGGGATGAGGGAACTGCTCGGAAGGGTGGGGAGCATACAGTGGGCATAAGGTGAGCTGCTTGGGCTCCATCCAGGGAGATGGTTTCTTATTGGCTTAGAGAGATGCTTAGGAAAAGACCTGCGACGGTGACCCAGATCAGAAGGAGAAACGTGGTACCAGCAAGAGGTGACAACTCACAACAGAGGAAGGAGACAGAACAACCAAAACCATACGAGTCAGGGCCTATTTGTTGTAAACATGAGCATCCTAAAAAATGGCTAGAATGTGAGTGCCATAAGGGCACCGCTATTTGCATGTTTTATTCTCTGCTCTATATCTGTTGCCTTTTCTACTGCCTTTCACAGTTCTTGGGACATGGTAGCACTCAATAAGTAACTTGTTAAATGGATGAATGAGTAAATGAATGAATGACTAAATAAATTCAAAAAGCGTCAATGTTCTATCACTCAAAACAATTTTTCATTAAGAAAATGTTAAAACCATGACTACATATATTTATATTTTTTATATTGTATATATATTTTATTAACATTTTCATCACAAATATTTAAAGTTTTTTTGTTTTAATAAAGTTCAGCAACCTATTTATGGGTTCCATAACTATTTTACTGTTTTATATTTTATATATTTTTGCCGTAATCATAATCATTTTCATTGCTAAAAGAAGGAATGGGCAAGCAGGGAGAAAAATAGCAAAGCTCACAATGGACTAAATCTGACCGCAAAAACTATTTGATGGGCCATGCCCAGAACTATAGCAGGCCAAAATCAATAGCTGTCTATTCTCTGAGGGTACTGCTCTGTTTTCAGGCTTAAGCCTTTGCTTAAAGTAAGGAAAACACTGTTGTTTTGGCATTTGCCATGCTCTTCTATTGTTAGCTCACAAACATACTAAAAATATGAAGTATTTAAATTTGAGAACAAAGGGTTATTTCATTTAAAATTATCAAGATTATTAACTTCACTGATTTATTCCAGATTTTATCTTGAAAGATATTAGCGAGTATCTTATTACAATGTAATTAGATATAGTAGGTAATTTTAACCTAATGGTTTTTTTCTTGATATATTAAGTAAATAAAATATGATCATAATTGGTAGCTGATGTCTTATAACTGAAGCAATAACATTAAAATGTAGTGAGCTTAAAATAATCCTGCACTGAAAAGTACTTACTGAAATTTTATGCTAGAGTATGTGCAATGGCAGTTTCCTAACATTGTAGCTAAATAACAGTAAATGAATACTTTGTTTTGACCAATATATGCAGACAAACCATGCTTACATTCACATATATTGTAACCTTTGCTAACTGCAATAGAATATATATATGTTATGTATACATATATTACACACACACACACACACACACACACACACACACACATGAGACAGAAGGAGAGATGGAACCTAGAATAGGAGTTATTCATGAGATTTCATGAGTTAAAGGATGGCTGAGTGTCAGTGTATTGGATTATGACCAGCTGAGACCGAGCTAGTGATCAGTGATTCAGAGATTAAGCCAGAGTTTGGGAAGAAAATGATTTTATCATTTAGTGCTAAAATAGGATCTGGAGGTCAAACATATGCATACACTGGCCAGACTCCATTGCAGCCAAAGCTGTACCATATCTAGGATCCAGACATGTCTAAAAGGTCAGTGAGATGTGGTCTGTTTACGTGAGAGAATTTCTGAGCCAAGAACCCTTCCTAGTGGAAGTCAAGGCCACATGCATTGGTGTCTAGATGATTCCAGGTTTAGTATAAGTTTTGTCTCTTGGATTTATCCCTTACCCCAGCCTCTCGTGGATTCACAATCTCAGCGAAGAACACAAGTGGACACAAAAGGCATAGACTTTATATAGTTTCAGGGTATTAAATGCACAAGGGTTCCAGAGTGTCAATAGCACCCAACAGAAAGCAGCAGCCCAATGGAAGGAAGCATTATGCTGGACCAGAAGCAAAGCACCTTCCTACCAATATGACCAGCAGACATTGAAGGAATCAGTGCAAGCTAAATTGTCACATTTTAAGGAAAAGAGAACTCCCAGAAATAAGTGGGAGAAATGGAAATCCCCATACTATCAGAGAATGTGATATATACCATTAATTACTTTCAGTTTACTATCATTTGTCCTCCTTGGTGGTATGGCCTAAAGGAATATAGGTTTTATACATGATAAACCTATAGTGAATCTTTTTTTTTAATTTTTATTTTTTTATTATTATTTTTTTAACATTTTATTTTTCCCCCCTCTCCTCTCCCTACTGGTATCCACTAGTCCACTGTCCATGTCCATGAGTCTCTGTTTGTTTGTCCTGTTTATTTGTTGCTTTTAGGTTTATATCCCACATATAAGTGATATCATGTGATTCTCAACCTTTTCTGTCTGGCTTATTTCACTTAGAATGATTATTTCAAGGTCTATCCGTGTTGTTGCAAATGGCAGTATTTCATCTCTTCTTATGGCTGAGTAATATTCCATTGTATATATGTACCACAGCTTCATTAGCCAACCATCTATTGTAGGACATTTCGGTTGCTCGTGAATCTTTAATTATCATTAAAGGTGGCTGATACCATCTTACCTTTCCTCATCTCTTGTCTTCCTATTTCATACTCTTTTGTGTTTGGGGATTTCTTTTTATATTTTAGGATGCCATAGTATAGAGGTAGCATGTTTTTGTTTTTGTTTTTTGTGTGTGTGTGTGTTTTGTTTTGTTCCGTTAATTATTTTTCTCCTCTTGGGGAAAATATCTCTGAGGGGCATGTGGTGGTGGGTGAGTGAGTGGTGGTTAGAGTATGACAATATTTCTAGAAGTGTCCATAGATTGTCTAGCCAGAACAAGTAGGTGAAACAACGTACAATTGTTTATCCAAGAATGTCAGACATAAGCTTATTTGTTTGTGGTTTCGATGTATCATTTGTACCTTGGAAAACAGTACTTTTTATGGGGCTACCTATGTACAAAAAGATCACAGAACTTTCTGGAATTAATGCACTAATTTTTAAAGTCTGATTCAGATTATAATATTAATAATTTGTCCTTTATGGGTTGATTGTCCTGTGCATTGAATGAGGAAACCAGGATCTAAATAATGATTTTTATCTTCATTAACATTTACTGATCATCCTTGAACTTGAAATAAGAAAGGTGTGCCCAAAAAATTTGTGCAGACTTTAGTGCCTGTTTATATCTCTTCTGTACTGTGCTAACAGGTATAATCTGTAAAGACCATATTGACATTTAGATCTCTTTGAAGATGACTGGTTTAAAGTCTTAATAACCTAAAGATGCCAGCTGTGATAAGAAAATAAGTTTAGTACACCAATTTATGTCCTCCTGTAATTTTATGCACTTTTCTAAGATTCCAATGCAGTGGACAAGCCAAACGGTTATTGCTATATTTGCTAGTTTACCAATTAAAATCAACTCATGGACATTCTCATGTTATATTGCTACCTTTTATCATCCCTTCTTTCCATTCCAAACTGCATGGGTTATGGCTGCAATCAGAGATGAACTCATTTACAGCACCATTTAACTGCTGCAGTAATTAAACTCCAATATCTCATGTTGAGTGTTTGGGTTTGGACTACCTCTTACAGATTTCAAGTTTTCAATGTTAATGCCTAGGCCACAAATTAATATCCTAGTAAAGTAAGTGAAGTACCATGGAATAGGTACTCCTTGTGGCCTTTCCACACCAAAATAAGAATGGCTATATCAAAAACAGGGTCTTACGGCCTCTTCTGTGAAAGGGATGGCAGGGGACAAGCTGAGCAATGCAAGGTGATGTACTAGGCTTTTTTTTTTCAGTAATTAAGTTTAAGGAGACATGTTTGATCCATGAACTATTCAAATGTTATAACTAGAAGCTTCTGCTCTCAGAACCGCCCTTGCCGTTA